GACACATTTGAAGAGGCAAGCGTCACCGTGCATCTACTCTCAAGGCCTCGAAAAGTACTGTTCATGTCGATATCTGCTGTCACTGCAGCCAAGGCTCATTCTACAGAGAGTAGGAGTTCGTGGCCGTAGCTGCGACCCTGTCTATCGACTGCTAAGAGATGTCAAGAGTGTAGGGCGGCCCGTTGAAAGGCTGAAGCTGCTGCAGCCCCTTGATTCGAGCCACATGTTCAGCGGGGACAATCGTCCTCCATGCATGACTGCTGGAGTGGCACCATCTGCTGCTTGATGCGCGAACTTAGTGGAGAGTCGGCTTCAGAGCAGTTCCCGGAGTCTAAAACCCCATGGGTTTAGGGCCCCACATGCATCAAATGGGGCTCCAGCCAAGCGCTTTGGCCTCAAGTTGTGCACCCCCAGCGGCGGAAGGTCCCCAAACCCTACCCAAAACAATTTAATGTAAAGCCGCAATGCTACCGCACCCCTGCATCTCAAGGCTCTAAGGCCCTCTCCCAGCTCTTTTTCGGGAAGTAGGTTCGGCACCTACATACAAGCTTTGGAGGGGTTATTCGGGCGCCAAGTTCCAGGTTAAAGGCCGCCAAAAGCCGCAGAGTCGAGACAGCGCTAAACCCCCGTTGCCCTAAACCCCCTCATCCTAGACTCCTCCCCTAATCCCGTAAAACCCCTCCTAAACTCCTCCCCTAATTCCTTAAAACCCTTAAGCCCCTAAACTCCAAACCCACACAAATGTCAGTGTGACAGGGTCGAAAACGTCCTCGAACTCTCAGAGTTTGGCGATGTGGAATTTAGTGCTTCTAATTGGGGTTAAGGCTTATAGGGGTGTAGGGCTTGCAGGGTTTTTGAGGGCCGAAGGGCTGGGGAAAGTAGGAATGTACGCCGGTTTTTCCACGACCGTATTTGGGTATACTTCGATAGTCGAACACGGAAATCTAATGTCCACAACGTTGCTAAGAACAGTAGAGCTTTACAGCATCAAGCAGCCAGCACGCCAGGCGTCGTGCTCGTCATGCACCATGTCTGCAGCTACCCGACCCGGGGCTCCAAACTTTGGGGGTCATGCCTGTACATTGACTTTGTCATAGTTGGGTAACATGTTTACATTTTCAAGGGTACTTAGACCCGATAAGGAAGAACAATTTTGAATATTATCCCAACAATGAACTAGTTAAGGTGTAACAAAAGCATTGCTAGTTCCATCTCACAGTCGCCCGCAGCCCGCGAGTGGTTACTCGTAATCCCCTCCCCCTCCAATATCAAGATTCCAAAAAACCGAAACCTAAAACCCAACGCCCTAAACCCTGAACCCAATAAAACATTCAATGTTCGAGCCGTGGGGGTTGAAAATTAGGGGCAAGGGGCTTGTGGGGGACGGGTCTTGAAAGCTTCAGTGTTCAAACTGTTCAAGTGGAGGTAGCTAGTTGAAGCGGATCCTGTTCAGGGGTATTTTTCAGAGTGTTTGAGGGGCCAACCTCGTACAGGAGTGATTGGGTTCAGTCCTGAAGGCATCTACTAAAGTCCTCACGGGCCAGCTGCAGTGCCATGACGTTATAAGGGTGTCTGAGTGCGGCGGGTTGAGCTGAATTCCGTGCCTTTTTTGGTCGCCATGGCGATACGTTCCCTAGAGTTTTAGGGTACCCGAAAGGGCCCAGAGTTCGGCTCGCCTCCCCATGTCTGTCACCGACCAGAGCACGAGCCGAGTCACCTGATATGAAGGTTCCGGAGGAGCCAGGCTTTGAAACGTGCGCCTCTGCAAGAAGGGCCCTCCGGATGTATCAAACACCCATGGAACCAGGGAGTCGGCAGCCCCAAAAATCTCGAAATGCTTTATAGGGTTTAGGGTTTGGGGGGTTTGACCCTAAACGCTAAACCCTAAAGCCCTCAAGCCCTGAACCCTAAGTCCCTCCCAAGCTGCCTTAGCTCCCACAGCCGTGGGCTCCAGCCGCATGCAAGATCCGTCATACCCGCCGCGACATCGGCACAAGCAAAAGTCGTTCACTCGCTTGGTGGTGCCCTGTGCCCCTTTGTTTTCTGGGCTTCTCTTACCCTAAACCCTAAAACCCTAAAACCCTAAAACCCTAGCACCCTTAAATCCCAAATCCTTTAACAGCCTACAGAAACTAGGTAGGTGCTTGGGACATTTTGTATTTGCCCTTGTTGGGTTTAAGAGGACCCTAAACCCTAAACCCTAAACCCTAGACCCTAGACCCTAAACCCTAAACCCTGAGGGTTTGAGGGCCATCCTAGGAAATCACAGGCCGATCCCAGGCACGTGAAGGTGCGAGGTGGTTTCGAGCTGGCGCTGTGTGAGTTCAGGGTTTAGGGCTTAGGGTTTAGGGTTTCGGGTTTATATAGGGTTTTAGGGCTGTCAGGGTTGTTGATTTTTGGTGTGTAGGGTTTTGAAGTTGTTCAGGCTTCACGAGGGTTTGGGGGTGTGGGTTGAGGGTTGAGGGTTAGGGCAGGAGGGTTTTTCGGTTTCGAGAGTAGGTCTAGAGTCTAGAGTTTGAGGTTTGCGGTTGGGGGTCGGTTTACGGGAGGAACGCTGCTTACTGGGCTCTGTCGGCAGGATGTTGGTACTGCTTTGCACTGGAAAGCGATGAATCCGAAGAAGCTGTCGAGGCCGTAAACCCTAGAGGCCCTCAACCCCTTAGCCCTAATCTCCAGGCCCTAAACCCTCAACCCTAAACACCTGAACCTCTAAGCCCTAAACCACTACGAGCCAGTTCTGCTCGTAGTCATTGCAGCCCTAATCCTTGCGATCAAGCTCAAGGTTTCTGGGTCAAGTCGCATTCCCTAGAGCCTTCTAAACCCTACACCCCCATCCGCAAACCCTACCCCCCAACACCCCAAACCCTAACCCCTAAGCCCTGAACCCTAAACCCTCAAACTAACCCCTAAACCCTAAACCGAAAACACCTTCCGGGCGCTGCCGGGCCGAGCGGCATGGAGGCGATGCGGAGCAGGTTGGTAGAAGCCCTAAACCCTAAACCCTAAACCCCGAACCCCCTAAACCCTAAAACCTGAATTTCAAGCATACTATTTTTCGGGCAGGGGGGCAGGGGGGTTGGAGATCTCAGCACCCAAGAAGGAGGTGAAGAGAATTGCCCATCATTTCTTCAGAAAATGTAAAGTGCCAAGTGATGCGCGATGCTTACATCTAACGGGGTCTCTGCTGAGCGCATGAAGTTGCTCCTGGATGGTCAACGGTAAACCAGCTGGGTTAGTTGCTGGATTCCCCCCCATGCCCGGTTAAAGTTGCTCATGTTCGTAGGTCCCATGTTTAAAGGCAGCAAACGCAACCTGTCAATGGTTGTTTGCGAGCTCACAGCGCTGGATATGAGGATCTTTCACTTTTTGGGTTTGGGATTAAAGCCTGAACCCTAAACCACACATCTACGGGCCTTTCATACTTAGGCCCTGGGGAGTACAAGTTAAACAGCTATCCGGAACAGAGAAGCTCCAAGGAACTATCCCGGCAAGGACTCTGGACAGTTGTGGAATGAACTATTCAGAACTGAGCTGTCTTTTCGCGTCTTTCTTCAGGGTTCCCATTTGCCGCGGCTATAAGGTTAGGACAAGTGCCGTCTCCCAGCAACCTGCAACTCTCGACCTTAGAAATTGGCGCGCGCGCGCGCGCACGTGTGTGTGTGTGTGTGTGTGTGTGTGTGTGTGTGTGTGTGTGTGTGTGTGTGTGTGTGTGTGTGTGTGTGTGTGTGTGTGTGTGTGTGTGTGTGTGTGTGTGTGTGTGTGTGTGTGTGTGTGTGTGTGTGTGTGTGGGGGTGTGTGGGTGTGTGGGTGTGTGTGTGTGTGTCCCATGCAAGACCCCTTCTTGTCTATCCCTCGGTTTAGTAAATTTAACCCAAGCACCCTAAACGCCCAAGGAACCTTTACAGCCCTTAACCGTAGAACCTTTACAGCCCTTAACCGTCGAAACCTTTTTGGGGTTAAGGGTTGCTTCTTATGCAGTGGCGAGTCGGCTGTGCAATATGGCATGCCTGCATGAAGCATTCGTCTTCCGCTTTGAGGCTGATGCGAACTCTGGGCCCTTGTCTCGGGTTTCTGCTAAGGTATTCCTTAGTTCGGGCTACCACGGGGGGCCTGGGGCCTAAGCCTGTAACTTTAGCTCAATCCCCATAGCAAAAGAAAAGAGTTGGCCCACGATTGGGCAAGTGTTGCCGCACCAGGGACACTGGGTCTGGAAGTTTCACAAGGAGAGTCCTACGAGGGAGTTTACTTTGGGGTCTAAGGTGTGCAGTGTTTAGGGGCCCACCCCCTCTAGGTACAGAACCTCAAAGGCTCTGTATCCCATGCTTGGGTGCGCTGCGCCGGCGTCGCTCCTCGGCCACGCAAGCGCCTTCGGCTCAAAGTCGAAGCCCTAATCCCTAAACCCTAACCTACTTGATAGGTTCTTGGTGCGAAGTGCGAGACTCTTTATGCTAACCTGCAAATGACATGAAGATTGTTGGCTCATATGTTTCACGGTACACCCTAAAGCTTGGACCCCTGAACCCGCTTCCTCTTCCTCTTCACTTGCACCTTCGTATTGTGTAAAGGTTTTCAGGGTTTAGGGCTCGGAGGCTTGCTCGTGTCTCCATTGGCTCCATTTCGCACTCAACAACCCTGAAGGTTTGGGGTGTGCTACGCTTCTGAGAGCTACACTTGCCAAGCCCTTGAGTCCCTTAAACCCCAAGCCCTGAAACAAGCGGAATCTCGCCGCAGCTCTCGTTGCGGTGTAGTAGTATATTCCCACCATGGGATAAAGTAAGGGAGTAGACTTGGTAATTATTATGGGGAAGCTTGTGGAGTCATTTGGTGTAAGATCTGGGTCTTCAGCAGGGTGGTGAGGACTCTTGGCATTTCTCGCGCATTTCAACCGGAGGCATCCAGAGCCAGAATGCCCACAATCCCTCCTGAAACCCCTTGGCAAACTCTCGCAGCGCTGCGCTGCTTCAAGGTCGCAGCTTGTAGGGCTTCTCGAAGCAGGAGCCATGGGGAATGTTTGCTGCGTGGCGGGAGCGCCGCTGCGATCAGAACTTCGGGGCCGACGGCTGGGCAACAAGAGGGTACACACAGATGGCAGCTGGGCTGATCTTGTGACTGAGCCCAAAAACCCTTAACCTCCTTAACTTTGTGTGTGATCTTTGTATATCAATGCAAAACCCCCCTTATGCTCCATACTCCCCACGATCCTGTGAGTAGCTTCCGTGGGCGTTTCACTTTAGGGCCTGACGGGTTTTCAACTTCTCGCCCTAAACCCCCGAAACCCCAAACCCTAAACCCTAAACCCTGAACCCGAAACCCCAAACCCTCAAGCCTGAAGTAGGGCAGACCTTCGCCCCATTTGGGATGGTGGAGCAGAAGACAGAACCGCTGAAAGTTTCTGAGTTCAAGCCCAGCTCGGGCTCCAGCAAGGAGAAACTCAGCTCGCACACTTGGGGGGCTTAGAGGGTTTAGGGTTTAAGGCTTGTAGGGTTTAGAGTTTAGGGTTTAGGGTTTAGGGCTTGGAGGGTTTAGGGTTTGGGGTGCTAGGGCTTAGGGTTTCGGGTTTAAGGGTTTAGGGCTTATAGGCTGGGTTTAGGGTTTCAATTGCTTGCTGTAATTCGGGTGCAGGGTGTTTCTGTTGAGCTTGTGATGAGGCACAGCTGCAAACTTGCATAGGACATCTACTCGTGCAGCATGTTTTGCAAGGGTGTCGTGCACTTGCGTAGATTCAGACACGGAAAGGGACCGAGACGAAAATTGAGACACAAGGCAGCATAGATCGCACGCACACACAGAGACCGACAAAAAAAATGATAGATAGACAGATACAGGCACGGACTGACATACGCAGAAAGGCACTGAGCTAAACGCCGATGCGCATGCAAGCCCATGATCGTGCTCGGAAGCACGCACCCACAGAGAGCGACACACACACACACACACAGAGACACACACACACACACACACAGACACAGACACACACACACACACACACACACACACACCACACACCCACACACACAACACAAACAAACAAACAAACAAAACACACACACACACACACACACACACACACAAACACACACACACACACACACAAAACACACACACACACACACACACACACACACACACACACACACACAAAAAAACACACACACACACACACACACACACACACACACACACACAAAAACACACACACACACACACACAAAAACACACAACACACACACACACACACACACACACACACACACACACACAAAAAACACACACACACACACACACACACACACACACACACACACACACACACACACACACACACACACACACACAACACACACACACACACACACACACACACACACACACACACACACACACACACACACACACACACACACACACACACACACACACACACACACACACACACACACACACACACACACACACACACACACATACACACCCGCACACACACACAGAGAAACACAGAGAGAGGCTTACGGACAGAGAAAAGCCTGGCTCATCGACAGTAGCAGCACGCGATCTACAGATATTGAACTAGTAAGTGTCGTTATGGCCATTGATCGTCGCAAATACTTCAGAAAACGATTGACAAGAATGAAGTGCTCATCAAATAAAATTCGAACTTTTCATGCATAATTTATTCCTAATACACACTATTTCTTTCATAATAATTCAGAATAAGTTATTTACTTCGAACATCCCCACCCCCTCTTGGTAGAGAGACTCTGGGGTTGGGCACTCCAGGGACACTGTGGGTTGGGCACTCCAGGGAGACTTGGGGGTAACGACAGGGACACTCTGCAGTTGGGCACTCCAGGGAGACTCTGGGGCTGGGCACTCCGAACACTCTGGGGTTGGGCACTCAGGGAGGCTCAGGGTTGGGCACTTCAAAGAGACTATAGGGTTGGGCACTCCGGGGGACTGGGCACTCCAATAACAATCTATGGTTGGGCACTCCAGGAAGACTCTGATTGGGTTGGGCACTCCAGGGAGACTCTGGGGCTGGGCACTCCAAAAAAACACTTTGGGGTTGGGCACGCCAGGGAGACTCAGGGTTGGGCACTCCAAAAGACTCTGGGGTTGGGCACTCCAGGGAGACTCTGGGCACTTCAGGGAAAATCTGGGGTTGGGCCGCTGGGCACTCCGGGACACTCTGGAATTGGGCACTGCAGAAAGACTCGAAATTGGGCACTCCAGACAGACTCTGGGGCAGGGCACTTGGGACACTCTAGAGTTGGGCACTCCACGAACACTTAGGGGCTGGGCACTCCAGGCGAGGAGAAGAGTTGAGGTTACAATCTAACAACCCCATAATGGCTATTTTGGCTGTCAACGACCAAGTCGATAATGCTTCGTAAGTGAGTAGTACACACTAATAAAGGAAACCGAACGACATCCTTAAACTGCCTGGGGCTTCCTGCATTTCGACAAGGCTGGGAACCTAAGCCTCCTCCAGGAAACCAGACGACATCCTTAAATTGCGTGGAGCTTCTCCAGAAATCATGGCTATAGTAGCAGCCCCGAGTCCTTCATCGGTTACCATGGTATGGGAACATGTTAAATTCTCAGGAAGCTCCATGCAACTTGTGGATGTCGTCCGGTTTCCTGGAGAAAGCCTGGGTTCCCAGCCCGGTCGAAATGCAGGAAGCCGCGCGCGGTTTAAGGATGTCGTTCGGTTTCCTTTATTAGTGTGTGTACTACTACCGCACATTCACACTAAGCAGTTACTCTTTAATTTATTAAGTATTCATGAATAATTGTTGAATCAGAAATAAATACGAATTGGCCAGTAATCTTGACTTGAACAAATAAGTAATGATTAGAGTGAGGGAATGTTAACTATTTGTTCGTGAGTTTTCAAAGAAGAACTGATTAAGAGCCATACAACCCAACGGATCCAACGAAATCGAGTATTTCATGAGGCGTTCAGAAGTTAGCGGTTTCATAATTCACGATCGCTTATGCAGTCTACAAGTTCTAGGGCAAGCCTGGGGCATCCCGGCGGACCCCCGATGTGGTGTTTGTCGTTCAGATGTCAGTTGTTCAGTCCCAGGCGCGCTCCGAAGGTCGCGTTTCGGCTCCAGCTCGGACGGCTTCAACGTTTGACTGTCAAAAAGATCGCCCCGGCCTCAGTTAGCTGTTGCCTTCTGCCCCAAAAAATTCGGGCGCGCTACAGGGCCTGGACGTCCTGGTCCTCGACTGCACCCTTGCCTGGGACCGTGGACTGACTGCGACCTGCCACACTCTTGGCGGCCGCGTGCTCGGCCCTGTTCGATGGCAGGCGCCTTGCGCTTGGTGTTCCCTTCCTTGCATCTATTCGGTGCCTGAAAGACCCCCGTCTGGAGGCTCTGGACGTCGTGTATGTGGACGACTTGATCGCGGCAGTGCGCCCGGAAGCACGCGGACACCTTGATTTCGATCGTCGTCGGCGGGGCGCGCCAGCCCGAAGAACGGCCACTGGCTGGTCCGCTGCTGCTCAGCCTGCGCCTGCCTAAGACCAGGTTAAGGCGAAAGCAGGACATGGCAGAGGAAGTGTTTTACCGAAACCTGTTTTCCTGGATGCGGGATGTCTGAAAAGTCGGCTTCGTTTGGAATCAACTTGCCCGTGTGATAGCAGGACACCTCATCAGCCGGGTCGTGAAGTAGGCAGCGCAGCAGACAAAGCAGGCATGAAGTCCGCGGTATTGAGAAGCTCTCGGGCTCATTCGCTTTCGCGTCTTTTCAGCTTTCACCAGGCCCGAATTGAACGAGAATAAATCTTTGCATCCGATCAGACTGTTGGATGTCGTGCGCAAAGTTCGAACAGCACAGGCTTCGCGATGGCCCGCGTCTACCAGGCTCGTCTTGCGTTCCGCTTTACGTTGGCCTCTGAGCGATTCAAATTACGTGCGTTTCAGGAGCTGTGCCAACTTGCACGATGACTGCCAACGGCCAGGTACGGGATGGCGCCGTGCTGCCTAAGGAGTGTCCGGTCCTTCCACGCGTTGTCGTGCGAGGTGCCGAGGGGTATGCCGACGAGCTCCACCTGAACCCGGAGGTGATGCCGCGCTTGGTGCAGCTTACATGCAGAAAAAATGGGTTTGTATTTTTCTTGTTTAAGAAGGGCACGCACACCCACGAAACATACCCCGTAACATACCCCGAAACGTACGGTGACTTTTTTGAATAAGTGGCGACCTGCCACGGTAAGAGAGGTGAAAGACCAGCCCACACCCGCCCCCCACCCCTCCACCCCTCCCCCTCCACCCCTCCACCCCTCCACCCCTCCACCCCTCCACCCCTCCACCCCTCCACCTCCACCCCTCCGCCCCTCCACCCCTCCGCCTCCACTCCACCCCTCCACCCCTCCACCCCTCCACCCCTCCACCCCTCCGCCTCTCCACCCCTCCACCCTCCACCCCTCCCCCTCCACCCCTCCCTCTCCACTCCATCCTGGGGTGGGGAGGGGGGGAGGGGTGGAGGGGTGGAGGGGTTGGAGTTTCCGGATGTTTAAAATGCTGGGGGCCTGACGCCGCCCTATACGGAGGTAGTATGAAATACCTGTTTGTCTGTTTACATGTCCGGGTGTTTAAAACCGGCACCGTAACATATCCCCGAAATTGCAGGTAAAGTAGCCCGAAACATGCCCCCGAAACATACCCCGAAACATACCCCGACCCCAACACCTGTCGCGTGCCTCCCCATTAAAATACAAACCCATATTATATGTCTATATCTATACATTTTTCCATAGACAGTAGACGCGCGTTTTAACGCACACACACACACACAGAGACACAGAGAGAGAGTTACAGACAGAGACACGCAGACAGACAGAGAGTGTCAGAGAGAGAGAGAGCGAGAAAGCGAACCGCAACTAAAACCAAAACAAATAAGCTGCATGATGGACAAGCGTTACGAAGCTAATGACAGTATTTGGCTCTCCAGGAAGCTTACTGTTGGTTAGTAGGGAATCCCGTAAACGGGTATATATGCATATATATATATATATGGGGAATATAGGGTACCTCATTCCCTCATTCCCTACTAAACAACAGTAAGGAAGGTCCCTAAACCATAAACTCTAATTAAACCCTAAACCATAAACCCTAATAAACCATAAACCCAAAACCCTAAACCCCAAACCCTAAACAGGAAGGTGGACCTGCGCGAGTACATGACCGCGGTGGAGGACCAGGCGGCGGCCAACAGCTGCTGCGCGAATGCCGTGGCTGGTGCCTTGGGGTCCAAATGAACCCGAAAATTGGGGTCGTATGTGCTATACTACTAATTCCAATTAAGGTCTATGAACCATAAACCCCTATACTATAATTCCCATTAAGGAATATATGAGCAATCAACCCTTTTAGGGCTCTTTTCGTCCCCAAGGTGCTTATGAGTATATCAACAAGCGCGAGGCGCTGAAGCGGGGAGACTCCACTGATGACATCTCGCGGCTATTCATTTATTACGTGGGTCGGAAGCGGGATCAGCAGATCTTCGGCGAGGAGTTGGCTGAGCCAAAGAGGGGTCCAGCCTGTTGACAGGTTTCTTCTACCGGCCCCCCCAAAAACCCAGGCGAAACCCAAGTCTAGGGCTTCGCGTGAGGATCCGAAGATTGTGCCGCAGGATGAAGGAATGACTCTGGGAGGCTCGGATGGCCGAAATGTTGTCAGATTGTGCACCCCTAAACCCTCAAAACTTAGGGTTTAGGGGTTTAGGGTTTAGCGTTGCGGGTCTAGGGTTCAAACCCTGGCAGGTGCCATCACGGCTTTGGAGATGAAAGGCGCCTGCCTGGAGAAGACCCTCGAGCTGCCATTTAGGGCATCCGACCCCTGAGACCCTCAACCTTGCAACCCTGAACATGTTGGGCTTTAGGGTTTAGGGCTTTTGGGGTTTAGGATTTAGGGTTTACAACCCTGAACTTATTGGGTTTGGGGTTTTGGGGTTTTGGGGTTTTGGGGGTTTAGGTCTTAGGGCTTAGGGTTTACATCGGTTTACCATCCGTAGGGTTCAGAGCATCACTCGGAGGTTCATGGGTACTTAACCTGAGCCGAGGGTTCCCTATCTCGCGTGTAGCCCTCCTTGTCTGTTGTGCGACGACCTTTCAAGCAAAAACCCTGGCCCGACATTTCTCAGGGGATTGCACGGCAAGCCCTCATCGAAAAACCTTAGGTTGGTTATGTGTCGGGGGGCCCTCCTATGGAACTCCTTGAGGAATGGAGGTGAGCTTTTTGGGTTTAGGTGTTGGCCCGGGGTTCCTAAGCCAAAAGCGGCGCGCATGGGCCGAAAGGGATCTCAATCAACAAGTTGAATCAACAAACCAAACAAAGCAAGGCGTCAGCAAGCGCCATGAATCACCACAAAAGTTTGGGGCACATCAAAACAAAGCAATTGGAGGCAATACGACGAACGCTTGAGGAGGAAATCTGCACGAGATCCGCATGATGGTCCGGCGGATCAGCGCCACCGTATCTGGTGCTCGCGTGTCGTGGGTGCTACCTTTGGGATCGAAAAAACTGGGGCCAGAAATGTTCCCAAGTGCCAGTGATTGCCATGCACAAGGTCCATGGCCCATGAGGCTACGCGGCTACACATGGCCTCCTCTGCTGTCCCTCAGTCAAGGGAGAACATACATGGCTCTCAGTTTCATGCTCTGTGGCAAACATCAGGTGTATGGCCTTCCTCCGCGTTCCTTGAATCAGGCTCCTTATCGGTAGAGTCTGTAGTAGTGCACTAAGGGGCGAATCCTCGCCAAGCGCCCACATGCAATAGTTATGCCGTTATGCATCCCTCCTTGGTCACAAATGAGTTGCTGGAGAGCTTGGCGGTTTCCTGCCGGAGCTGCTGTGTTCATGTCGTGACGAGCCGATCGCATAGAACCCAGCATGGGCATCGTGACCCATGCGGCGATGGGCTCAGAGCCCTGGGCCATTAACTCTTGCGCAGCACCGTATGCCGAGAACAGCTCGGCTTCGAGCACCTGAGCAGCTTTGTCCCGAAGTGACACAGCACGCCATCAAGAACTCACCAAAAACAGCAGCCCCCCACGAAATCCAGATTGAACATGGCAAAAGGCGTGCCCTGGGAGGTGAGAGGCTTGCTGCAAGAAAACCAGTGTTCCATGTTTCTCTTATCTGGTATCTGAACGCAGGGTTCGCTCCAATTCCTACCCCAAAACCAAGGCAATCAAAACGCTACAGAGCGACCTTTAGCCCCAAGCCCAAGCCCGTGTACTGTAGGGAGTAGGGAGTAACAGTTGACCAAACAGGCGAGCAAGTTTGGGAGTCGGGACTTGCGAGTTTACATTTGAACCCTCAACATCACATATGCGTAGGCCATGAATGTGCCCTGGGTGATGATCCCCGCTATGCGGGTTGCTGGGGGCTTCGGTATGAAGGCCCCGGGGCCAATCTAAGGCGAGTCAGTGATTTGGTGCTGGTTGGCGGGCCTTAAACCTTTCACCCTTCCATCCACAACCCCCCATGTTGCGAGCAATCAAGGAATTGGCCGTACAACTTGGACCGGGTGAACCACAAACCTGATCCGTCTTGTTTCGACCAAGCCCTGCGCTACAAAATCGCGAGTTCGCAGAAGGTTGCGGTGGACCTGGATGCCATGCGCGCGGCCCTTTCTGCCGGGAACCCCATCGTCTTTGGGCTCAAGCTCACTTCCCACTTCTTTCGGCCTTTGCCAGGAGGGTTCATCCCCACACCAGACCCCAGCGATCCACAGTCGTCCGAACACGGGCTGCATGCCATGCTGCTGGTCGGCTACAACGATCGCCAGCAGGTCTTCATTGTCAGGAATAGTTGGGGCACTTCCTGGGCTGACCGCGGATATGCATATGTGCCATACGACTACATTGCCAATAGCGCCTTCAATTTTTTGGATCAGAACCGTGTCCGCACTCAGCATGACTCTGTATTTCTGCGTGCTTCCTTCGCGCGTGTATGCGCGCATCTTGATATTGGAAGTTGGGTGCTGCTCCTAAACACTCAATCCTAAGCCCCATACCCCAGGTATGTCATCACGGGCTTGACTGACACTGACTTCACGCCAGCTGACGACGACGGCAACGATTTCAGCTACGACACCGTAGCGGATTCAGCGCAACCCGAGTCTTGGAGTCAACAGGCATGGCTTAATGCTGCACCCGGCTTAATAAGGGGGACCCCGCCCAAACAAACAAACCTGGGACCGTCAGTAAAGAAGTTTTTCCCGGGACCCCCAATCAATTTAGGTGGGGAGGGGAGAACCTGGGCTGAAGCCAAGGCCCTTAAGCCACTGAAACCGAAACCTTTACGGCCAAAAGGCCAGAAGCTGTCCAGCCAAACCTGAATCTTTTAGGGCACCAAAAACCTACAATTGACAAGTTTCGTGGTTTTAATTGTGCAGGGCCCGTGATCAGGAGTTGGTTGATTACGAAGAGGAAGCTCCGGATGCAGAGCCGGATGACTTCGACCCCGAGGACTTGCGTTTGAGTAAGTGCAACCTCCTTGGGGGTTCTAACCTTAGGCGTTGGAGCCAAAGGTCACCCCTTTTTTTGCTAGAAAGCTCACAACCTGGAAGAGGATGAGTTCGATTGGGACAAGGAAACCAAGCGTGTCTTCGACAAGTTCGACGCTGCGAGCAGTTTAAGCTAAAGTTGATGGCCCCCCCATCGTCTCCTTATTCGGGTCTAGGGTCTCCCCCGGATCTTGCAGATTCAGAGTTCAGGATATACTCTGCAGAAGGAACGCTTGAGTGATTAGTTCTTTTCTTGTGGCCTAGTGAAGTTTAGAGTGTGTCGGGACCCTATGCCCCTAACAATCTGGGCCTCTAAGCCATGCGTACAGGGCAGTATGCTGAGGATGTGAACAGCAGCGGCACGATTGAGCTATCTGAACTTGCCACCTGTCTTTCCATGAACGGGGTCTTCATGCTACCTTGGCAAATCGAAGACATCATGAAGCAGTACGAGTCGGACGGCAAGCCAGGTCTCTCATTTGAGGAGTTCAAGTTGGTTTGCCAGAAGGAATGAGCATCGCTGCGCTGAGATTGCTTGGAGTGTGTGTTGGGCACATGCCTGCCGAAGTGCAGATTTTTTGTTGTCACTTCACTCTTGACTGGTTCAGGATTGCGCGCGTGCGCGCGACGGCCTTTTCCTGACCTAGTGGACCAATTCCAGACGCCGCGAATGACTCGACGGCCCGCAAGAAGCTGGCCTCATGTCTTCCGCGAAGCTTTAGACGCCCTGAGAGTTTCTGAGGAGGTTGACAGCAGCTGGGTTGCCTTCGGGGTCTAGATATGTTGTGGGGGAGGGGTTTGAGAGGGGGGGGGGGTTGGCGCCTGTAGTTTGGGGTTTAGGGTTTTTTGGGGTTTAGGGTGTAAGGGTCTAGGGAAGATCTAAAAAGGGGATCCCATAATTTGGGACCCTATGCTACTAAAGGGTCCCCATAAAGGGATCTACTTTTCGGATCCTCCAAGCAGTCTGGGACGGGTGAGGGTACAGCTTACCTGGACCCAGAAACAACCCTACCTTAAACAATTGGTTTTGTTTGATGGTGTGAAGGTACACGGAGTGCGGTCGAGAGATTTAGGGATTAAGGATTGGGTTGGAGGGTTTGGGGTTTAGGGTGTAAGTCCGGTTCAGGGGTTGAGGGTTGAGGGTCCGGAGTTTAGGGGCATGAGGCACTGATGTTGCAACGTTCTGGCAGTCTTTGCTGCACTTTAAGGGTGTGGTGTTTAGGGTGTTACGTACTGGGCTTTCCTCAGGAAGGGGGGTACCTTATGTTTGATCCCTTATACGCAGGATCCTCGTGAGGCTTTGCCATTCAGTGCCACCGCTGAAACCCTGAGCGCGCCATACCTGTGAACATCTACGCTGCCAACGATTGAGCACCACAGCTTGGGATCTTGAGTTCTTGCTATGGGTTCATTTTCAAAGGCAATGGGGATCTGTGATTGGAATTCCAGATTGTGGTCACTACTGTAGTACCAGAGAGGGAACAACCGAACCCTAAACCCTACACCCTAGACGCTAAGCTCTAAACCCTAAACCCATACCCCCAAGGACCAACCCCTAAATCCTCAAGACCTACCTCTGAGGTGTTTTTGGCGTCGGTGGCAGCATCCGTGCTGGGTCTCCCGTGAGCCCTAAACCCCAAACCCGTAGCCCTTAAGCCCCGGCCCCCCAAAAAACCCTTTCTTGCCTCCTGTATGCCTGGAAGACGTTTGGTTTAGGGTTTGAGGGTTCATGCTGAAGATGCCACCACCCCAGACTTCGTGGACTGCGGCATGCGTCGAAAAGTGAATGCAGCGCCCCTTAGATTTAGTAGTGAACCCCAGCATCATGCAGCGACCGCGCTCTAACGTCCACAGGCCGCTGACGGCAGAGTGAGGCCCCTTAATTCCTTTTTTGGGGCTAGCATCTGCTTGTGAACCCAAATTAACCCAACAATGTGCCTTTTTTGCTTCCTAAATTGGTTGGGTAACTTAGGTATAGAAGAGTAATGAGGCCACTCGGAGACATGAGAATTCCATGCGCAGCGCCCACTCTAAACACCCAGTCTGGACGCTCCAGTTCCCTGCCGCTTTCTCCAGAGTCCACGGAATCGAAAACCGCATGAGCTCAGCTGACATCAGCAACAAGCATATACTCACGTTCATCCACATGAGGGCCGAGAACAGCAACGATCAAATCGACGACCAAATCCGCCAGCTTCGACTGTGCTCTGTGTGGCAACTCCTTCTGGAGCCATGGCATTTCTCGCCGAGGCTTATCTATATAAAATTAATATATATATATATATATATATATATTATATAACACAGTACAATATAATATATAATATCATCTAATATAATATAATATAATACGATTGATTAAACTAGACTGTTGAAGCCAGCCCTAGATGCAGGAAAGCAAGGGGGCGGTGTCTTGTGGATGTTGGACTTCATGCTGCTGAAGCCAGACGCTTCATGCCCCGCTACTCTGCGAGGCGTTTACACTGGGTGCGGCACCTCCCGCGCTGCCTGTCGCTAGGCCCCAGGGATGCGCACCAATGTTCACATGCAACCAATGCCAGATTCATTGCTCGTACCTGACCAAGCATCTAGAATCTAGTCTCCTCAGCAGCGTTAGGTGATAATTCTGGGAGAAATCACACAGTCAGAAAAGTAGTAGAATATTCACAGAACAGGATGAACACATAGCATATGCATACTAGCATACCCTAACTACGTTTATGCTTTTCATAGAACAGATGCGTCGTTGTTTCCTGTTGCTGTGGTGAGGTCGGGGTGGGTCTGGGGACCCGAAGTGGAGGTTAAAATGGCCACTCGAAGAGTAGGCAACTTAGAGCTTAGGGCATGATAGAGGGAAACTCGTTGGGGCGTGATTCCGGCTTGCCCCTCTGTGTAGGGCTTGGGGATGTTCACGGCTTGTTTGCTGGAGGTTCCTTGGCCTACGAAAGGCATCTAAGGAGCAATGCCTGATGGACTACCAGCTAACCCCTCTAGGACCCATCGACCCTGGACCCGAAACCTTCCCTGAAACTCTCAGCAGACACCCAAAACTCTACAAACATGGAAAATGATATAACGGAATGATATTAGACAGAACAAAACAAAAAATGACAACAATATGTGAGAATATTTTCAATAGACTAAAATAAAATCGTTGTATAATACATGATGCCAGAACAATAGAAGAATACGGTTTCAATGTATAATTTGAGTAAGGGGAGAATAGCACGCATCGGATGTGATAATATGATAAAATGTTCATTTCGTAGTATACGAACAATACAAAATGACTCAGCATTTCAGGATTGTAACAATATTCATATATCAGCATAACAGAATAGCTCTGTATCAAGATTGCTATTTATTACGACGGCAATATGATGGCGTAATCGTATATCAATAGAGTTTACATGATTAAAAGGTGTATATGACAGCATGATAATATGAAATCCGAATGTACACTCTTATGATCACATGCAAATATAAATACAATAATACCATAGTGCAATTGCATGTTATAGCAATATCGAAAGAAAACATATTATGAGAAGAGAAGAATAGAACAATACAGTAATGTACTATATTATTGATATACTAATTTGATAACATGTCAATATGACGATATTAGCAATGGGACAACATGTTAACCGAATGACACAACGATATGAAACAAACCCACAGACACAATGATGTAATGATGTAATGCTGCAATAAGATGATACTGTCCGGAAGCGCTGGGAGTCCCCAGCTCACTCCGAGCTCCAAAGCCCGAAACCCTTGAGTTTGAGGGCTTGGGCGAGGGGGGGTGGGGGAGGTAAGGGGTTGAGGAACAGGGGCAAGGGGGAAGCTGTCCACCCTTCTTGGAGGTGCACGGGCGAGGGTACAGGCTTTAGGGTGTTCGGGTTCAGCGTCAGACGTTTGCACACAGGCTCGCCGCCAAGCCCGAACGGCCAACACATGGAGCTGCGCAGCGAGGCGTGGGTTGATTTGGGGATTCTTTTGGGGGGGACGGGTTGTTGTTTTCGGGCTTGAATCGGGTGGGGGTTGTTTGGGATTGAGGGTTGGAGGGTTTCTGGAGGGGTAAGGGTGGGCTTGTAGGGGTTTAGCGAGGGTTTGAGGTTTGTGCTTTAGGGTTTCTGGCTGGGTCGGTAGCGTCTTGGGGAGACGTTCCCCGTTCGTGTTGAATAAGATCTCATTTAAGAATATGTTCTGCGAACTACGCCCATGGTAGTTAGAACCTTGTAGCCCCAAACCCTAACCCCGTTAGGGCTCACTGGGTGCCTGATCTGGTTCAAGTACGTTCCGAGACTGCAGCTCGTGATGGCTTCTTTCTTTTTGACGTAGGGGAGGGGGGTGTTGGGGGGTTTTGTTCTTGCTCACACAAAACACCAATGCGTCAAAAAGCCCTTCAGCACTGAACCAAAAATCTCATAGGGGTAACGTCAAGCCCCGAAAGCTAAACCCCCTGGATCTTAGTAGGGAATGAGGGAATGAGGGCCCTTATATATACCCTTTAAGGGATTATATAGGGCCTCACCAGCCAGTAAGCCCTGTCGTCCAGGTGTGCCGTCCACCTTCGCTGCGGCGGCCGCTGTCTTGGCGGCCGGCGTTGCTGTGAGCAAGCGGCGCTGGCGGGTTTCGGGTTCAAAGTTTGTACAACATGCAAGATGTTACGGAATACCTGGACCGTCGGAAATATGGTCTAGTTTTTTATAACACGTATCTGGCACGTTTATAACTGCTATATAGCACAGATGCTATGTGTGCTATATATATATATATATATATGGTCACCCACCCCCCATGATCCACACCTATGGTTTTCCTGTCTTCGTCTTCGTCTGGTTTTCTGCTTTTCCCTCGGAAAATGCAGTAAAAATTGTACTGGAATACAAAAAACCGTTTATATTATCCCCTATAAAAACACTAGTGTGTTTATGTGCAGTTTGCTTCTGACCTGCGGCTCCACAAAATTTTAGAATGGCTGCCATTTAGAATTTTAAGGCTTTTCAGGGTTTAGGGTTTTTTTTAAATTTAGATGATCTGCGGAAGGCACCGGGGCTTCCCCAGACCATTTCAAGTTTTAAAATCCTTACAATCCTTAATTGTTTTTGAGCGGGCAGCCCTTTTAAAATTTTAAGGGCTTTAATGTATTTACAGCCATTTAAGATTTACAGGATTTAAAAGGCTTTAAAGCCCTTAAACTTTTATCCCTCAAAGTTCTGAAATACCTCAACAATTCAGGGCAGCCGTTTTAAGGAAGTTACGGATTCTAGAATTGAACATCCTAAAATCCTTAAACTTTATAAAAGGACAGCCATTTACAACTGTAAGAATATCAGGGTTTTAAGGATCTGTAAAAGTTTACATGGTCTGGGGAAGGCACCGGGGCTTCTCCAGACCATTGACAACCTTAAGAATCCTTAAAATCCTAGAAGGGCAGCCACTTAAATGTTTAAGCATTTTAAGGCTTTTAAAGGCTTTAAAACCTTTAACATCCTGAGAATGTTTAACCCTAAACACTTAAACACTACACCCCAAAAACTAACCCTAAACATTACACACTAAACCCTACACACTAAACCCTAAACACTAGACCCTAAACCCTAAACAGAAGCATTTTTAAAGTTGTCAATGGTCTGGGGAAGCCCCGGTGCCTTCCCCAGATCATGTAAGTTTGTAAAAATCCTAAGCCCCAAACCAAAAAAGACATGGGGGTTTCAGTCCTTGAGGGGTTTTAAAGCTTCATCATTATAAGGTTTAGGGTTTGAGACATTATCCAAGTCGCTTAACCCTAAACCCTAAGAAGTAAACCCTAGACCTTTAAAATCAAAAGCCAAACGCTAGACCCTAAACACTGAACCCTGAACCCTAAACACTAAACCCTGCAAGCCCTAAACTCTAAACAATAAACACTAAACCGTAATCCCTAAACGTGCACATGGAGTACCGGGGCCCCGGACTCCAGACTCCAGATTTCCAGAAAAAATCTGGAGTACCGGGGCCCCGGACTCCAGACTCCAGATTTCCAGAAAAATCTGGAGTACCGGGGCCCCGGACTCCAGACTCCAGATTTCCAGAAAAAATCTGGAGTACCGGGGCCCCGGACTCCAGACTCCCGACTTCCAGAAAAAATCTGGAGTACCGGGGCCCCGGACTCCAGACTCCAGATTTCCAGAAAAAATCTGGAGTACCCGCGGCCCCAGACGCCAGACTCCAGATTTTCAGAAAAAATCTGGAGTACCCGGGGCACCAGACTCCAGATTACAGACTCCAGAATCTGGAGTCGCTTAGAGCCTTGGATTGGACTGAAGCTCGCGCCCTTAGGGTTTCAGGTATCGGGCTTCCCAAAACATCCCCCCTAAGGTGGATGCTAATGCACTAGATGGCTGGGGCCAAAGTGCAACCCTGAACCCTACACCAACCCTAAACCCCAAACCCCTTCTTGTCCACCGTCACAAGCCAGGCGGAAGGCGGGCACACGAGCGGCTTCGCTGGCTATGAGGGCAGGGTTCCCCAGCCCATGGCCGACGTCGTTTAGGGTTTTTGGGGTCGAATGGGGGCTTAATTGGGGTTTAGGGGGGCTTGAAGGGATTGAGGGCAAAGTAGGGGGGTTTCGGTATGCTGTACACACAGCATGGAAAGTTGACCTTTTTTCTTGCGGTAAGGCAAATCACTGCGGGGAAGCTTTTTAGGAAGTCGACCGAAACTGCGTTTCCCTCGGGCGGAGTTGTCCACAATTCCATGCATGTGTGTCATAAGCCATGCTGGCTATACGATGCGATATAGGTTCAGAGAAATGGTTGCCTCTTCTTTGTAAGTTTTGGTAGGCTTGACTCCATGCTTTGCTTGCACTTCACTCGGGCGGAGGTCCTTCAGCAACCATGTTGGATGATGTTTTCAGGCATGTTGAGCCCCAGCGTTCCTTGGGGATTTCGATGCTCTGATTTTCGCCGCTTTTCGTAGCTGTAAAACCATGCGTTCATTGGGGGGAAAGGATCCCGCAGTCGACTTCGTCAACTTCCTGAACCCTCTGCGTTCATTGGGGTTTCGTGTCTCCCCCAATCAAAGGGTCGAATTTCCCGAGCCCCAGTAGGGTGTGAGAGGTCTTTCAATTCAAGATTCGGTTGGGATCGCTATGGCACCTGATGTTGCTTAGCGTTTTCGAGGGGTCTAGGGTGTCGGTTTTAGAAGTACACAGGCCGGCTGGGCTTGCAAGAACGTCTTCGACGGCTGAGGGTAAAGGAGTTGCTGCCGCGGTTCTTTTACCAATAAGTCCTAAAGCCTATCGGGCCCTAAACCCCCCACTTCTTTCTGCCAGTCGTTGAGACTTTGACGGGGCAGAGACAATGAAGGACTTACTGACAGTCAGCTGCAGGTACACGGATACCCTTCACAACACGAAGCCCTAAACCCCAAAGCGATGTTGGGCTTTGGCAGGGGACTGCAGGATTGACTGGACCTTCTTGGCAGTCTGGGGTCTGGATTTAGGCTGATCATACCGTATTGCTGTCGCCATCGGTTTGGGACCGTTCTGGTTTCGACGAGTTCCGGGCTAGACAAAAAACACCGGTTCAATGCGACCCTGACCCGCAGCCCACACGAACTCGAACTTTTGTAAACCCTGAACTCGCAAACTCCAAGAAGTTTAAAGTCTACAACCCCCAGCTCTAAACGTAAGCACTTCACCCCACACTGCAGCAACTACTGCATGATAGAGTATAAGGTTTTGAAATATCATGTTAGATGATCTTTATACAAGATATATGACGACAAAGATTTACGTCCCGGCAGCACTGAAGATTCAAAGTGTCGAAAGGGTTTACGGGTTTTAGGGTTTTTGGTCCCAAGCTGTTGGGTACAGAGCTTAGGGCCTAGGATCTAAACTCGGGTTTAATTAAGGGCTACGGGTTGGGTTGATACTTTTCGCCCTAAACCCTAAGCCTTGTTTTAGAGCGCCTTGATTTGACGCTTACAAATCACGACCCCTTCAAGTCTCCACTGAGGCCAAGAAAAGGAAAGTAAAGGGAAAGAATAAGGTGAACGTAGAATCGAAGTTGAAAGCTTTGCAGGCCCGCGTGGTGAGGTTGGAGTTTTGAGCCGGATTCTGTCAGCCTTCAATTTGGGGTTAAATGTTTGGGGCTTAGGGTTCGTGAGGAGAGCACGTGTTGTGCAATAATCTCACGCAGCCACTTGTACAAGGAGACCCTCGAATGCCTTGCTTCAATTCTTTTGACTACTCTCCATGCATTGTCATGAACATTTTTCCGCCCGGAACGCACTGAACTTTAGGAGTTTTGGTGCTTTGTTCGGAGCATATTAAGGGGGCCTTGAAAGCGCTTCCCGAGTTTGGCCCCTTGAACAACTGGGGGGAGGGAGGTTGGTGTCATTAGAGTTCAGGGTTTCGGGCTTGGGTTTCACCTTGGCCTTACTGTAGGGTATTGGTCGCCTCTGCTTGCTTCCTTCCTTTCAGGCCCTGAACCCTTCACCTGAATCCCAAAAACACACAGACACAGACGCGCGCGCACACACACACACCCACACCACACACGCGCACACGCACAAAGACAGACACACAGACACACGCCCACACACACACACAGACACACACACACACACACAGAGATGCAGAGACACAGGCACACATACACAGAGAGACGGAGAGAGGGAGGCAGAGACCAAGAGACACAGAGACACACAAGCGAGAGACACAGAGACACAAAGAGGCACAAAGAGGCACAAAGAGGCACGCGCAGAGACGCACAGACGTGCAGAAGCACAGACACGCAGACGCACCGACGCACAGACGCACAGACGCAGTGTCGCACAGAGACACACAGAGACGCGCAGAGACGCGCAGAGACGCGCAGAGACGCGCAGAGACGCACAGAGACACACAGAGACGCAAGGACACACACACACAGAGACACAAAGAATATTCAGAGAGTACACACACACAACCAACACACGCGCACACACAATTCACACACAATATGCACAGAGTACACGCAGAATACACGCAGAGACGCACAGAATACACACACAGAGAGACATAGAGACACAGACACAGAGACGCACAGAAATGCACACAGACACACAGAGAGACACAGAGAGACACACAGAGACGCACAGAGACACGCAGAGACAGACAGACAGACATGCGCACACACACACACACACACACGCACACACACACACACACACACACACGCACACACCGATACAGACACAGAAACGGACGCGGACACAGACACACACACACACACACACACGCACGCACGCACGCACGCACGCACGCACGCACGCACGCCCGCACGCCCGCCCGCCCGCCCGCCCGCCCGCCCGCCGCCCGCCAGCCCGCCCGCACCCCGCCCGCCCGCCCGACACGCACGCACGCACGCACGCACGCACGCACGCACGTGCGCCGCGCGTGTGCGCACACTCGCGCACACTCGCACACACACACACACACAAACACAAACACACAAACACACAAACACACAAACACACACCACAAACACACAAACACACAACACAAACACACACACACACACAACACACACACCCAACACACACACACACACACACACACACACACCAAAACACACACACACACACACACACACACACACACACACGCGCGCGCGTGCGCGCGCACGCGCACACACGCGCTCGCACACGCGCTCGCACACGCACACACATGCACGCACACACACACACACAGCCACACAGCTACACGCGCACGCGCACGCGCACGCACACCCACACGCACACACACACACACACACACAAGAACACACACACACACACACACACACACACACACACACACACACACACACACACACACACACACACACACACACACACACACACACACAGACACACACACACACAGACACACACAAACACAACCACACACACACACAGACACACACGCACACCCACACACGTACACACACCCACCGCGCACAAAACACACGACGGCACACACACGCACGACACCCGCACACACACGCACACACACCAACAGACACCGCACAGCACAAGCACAGTGACACACGCACCAGGACCAACACACACACACACACACTCCACCACACGCACGCACGCACGCCGCACACCACACACACAAACACAGCAAGGACACCACACACCCACACCCACACAACACACACACACACACACACACACACACACACACACACACACACACACACACACACACCCCCTCACACACACACACACACACACACACACACACACACACACACACACACACACACACACACACACACACACACACACACACACACACACACCCGCACACCCGCACACCCGCACACGCGCACATGCGCACACGCGCATGTGCACACGCGCACACGCGCACACGCACACGCGCCTCAAGCCCGCAAAGCCTGCTGCGCAGGCACTGCAAGCAATTGAGGATCTGCAGAAAAAAGAGGAGCAGGAGGCAGCGGCCAAGAAGGCTGTGGGATGGGACAGCTAATAAGCAAGTGTCATAGGATTTGGTGCAGATGCGGCGGGCAGCGGAGGGGATGTGAGGTTGACTATATATTGAACCTTCCTTAGTCCCTCCGTTCTCAAAGAGTTTGATGAGCCAAGGGGGGGGGATGGTTCTGTGTTGGCTCCGTTCAGCAAGACTTGTTCTAAACCCTAAGCTTCGGTTGCCGGAGAATCTTGTTGTGGTTGCAGGGTCAGGTGAAGAGCTGTCGTCGCGGAAGGGCTCGTGCAGGGACGGTAACTTCATCATGACACAGTCTTGCTCGGACTGAAGGCAGCGGGCAGACGTTTTGTTGGTTCCCTAGTCGGGAATGTTGGTGTGAAAGCCAAAGCGCTGAACCTAAACCCCTGAACGACGAGGGTTTCTTGCTTCAAGCAGCTCTCAAACTGCAATCTGAAGTTTGTGATATTAAGGGCCTAGGCTGTAAGGACAGGTACCAAAAACATCGAGTATGGACCTGACAATCACAAATGGCTTGACAATCGACGACAAGTTCTTGTTGTTGTACTCATCCAATGTTTAATGAGTTTAGTGTTCTGGGTACTGCCTTTGGGGTGCAGCCCTCAGCGCAGCCTGGCCGCGCGTGCGCGCGCGGGGCAGCGTGTGTGTGTTGTTGACCGTCAACCCACTTCCACCTACGGACTATGCCCTTTTGGGGTTTAGGTTTTGTAAGTTGGATTTTTTCATTCGTCGACGCTTGCAGCTTTGTTTCCAAGCCACTTTCAAGGGAGTTTGGCAAGGGGCAGCGGATGGCCTGGGCAGTTTTCTTTGGGCCAACAAGTCCAGAATCTGCACAACGATTTGCCCAACAAGCAGTTGGGCCCCCTTGAGAACCTGGCCACCGCCTTAAGGACCCTAAGCCCAAATTTAACCCGAGGCAGAGGGTCATGATTTACCTTTATACGTACAGGTCATTTGCGTCGGCCATCTTTCAGTTGAGTACGTATGTTGTCGCAAGCAAGGCCAATATCCATTGGCCTGTCCAGGACAGACGGTGAGCTCCAAACCCTCACCTCCCCGTTCCTCTTTTCGTTTTTCGAGGCCCTCGGCCGTAGTGCCGTAGTGTTCGGGGTCTGTCGCTCGGCGGAGGAACCTCTAGCGGCTTGCGCGGTCTCGGTGATTTTGGGGGTGTATGGGTGGGGGTTTCGGGTTTCGGCCAGTTTCTGGGTTTTAGTGACCTTCGTGTTTGTAGGAGTTTGGGTTCAGGCCGAGCGGGCCCGGAAGAGCGTTCGCGGCACTGCCGAGGCGCGCAGGGCTTTTTGGGGTTTGAGGCGCAAGCCCAAATTTTGGGTTAGTCAGCTTTTCGGAGTTAGAGTTCAAGGTATTGTGCGAGTTGCCATTGCAGGGCGTTTATCAAAATTTGGACGCGGTAGGGCTTGTGGAAGGCTTTCAGCGTTTTAGGGTTTCGATATAGTTGTTGGGTTTAAACATCCGGGATCGTAGGTATAGGATAGGGTTCTAGGGTTTTTGGATATTACAGGGTTACAAGTTTTAGGGACATGGGATTGTGGGTGTGGGAAGCGCTTGCAGCGTTGCAAGGGGAGGGGGGTACGGTCATGGCGCTCAGGGCTTTAGGATGCAGGCGGAAAGGGTTCAGGGCTCATAGCGTGATAGGGGTCAGAGCTCTGTCTTTAGGGTCACAGGGTTGCAGAGCCTCATCGACTATATCGGGTTACAGGGTTGAAGGGTTAAACGGGTTAGGTTTCCGTGCTTCCTGTAGGGCTGTGTGAAAGTTGTAGGGCTTCAGGGTTTACAGTTTTGTTGGTTCAGGGTTTTTAGAGTTCTGGACCGTTTGTTTGCAGCTCGACGTGCTTGTTACTCGTCTGTTTATTGCACATTCTTGTTGCCGTGCATTCGCGTGTTCTTCTCGGAGCATGCTCTCAGAGACATGTTGCATGAACAGCTTGGCCTCACTACCCACTTTCATCCTTTTGGGCCCCGGGTGTAGGGTTTAGGGTTCCGGGTTTAGGGTTCCATTCCAGTGCCTGCCTCAGAGTGTATAAACCCCAAGCCCTAAACGTTAAACCCTAAAGCCTAAACCCTAAACCCCAAGGCCTAACCCTCAACCCTAAACCCCAAACCCTAAACAAGCAAGGCAGCCGCAGCCGACGGCGAGAATGGCGCAGCAACAGCGCCAGCTTTTTGGTTGCAGATGGTTTGCTGCCTTCTTTTCCCAATAAGAGAGTACCTAAAGGGCTGTGCACCCTCCAACCCTGAACCTTTTCAACCGTCAACCCTAAACTCATACGGGCGAAAGCTTTGTGTGCGGGATCCCTCCTGATGTTGGGGTCTCGGCTTGAAAAAGGTTAAGGATTTAGGGTTTAAGGTCCGAAGCTTGCGGCGTTTAGCGCTGGTTCTGTTGACGAGTATGAAATTGCGACGACGACAGTTGATGTGCTGCGAATGATAGTGGCTATTGTTGTTGTTACTGTTTTTGGTTTTCTTTGTATACATGTGCGTAGTATTCTCCCGAAAGCTTTTCCGAGAGAGATTTTGGTTTCAACACGTGTTCTGCCAGACGGCTTGGGTGTATGGAGGGGGCGGGGAACCCCAAATCTTCCAAAAAGCGCCAGCTGGAGCGTGAGGCATGTGTGCCAGAAGAAGCAATTTGGGACAGAGCATGCACATTGCCACATTGACCTTTGAACATGCCACGGCGACGGTTGACCATCTTCGGATGTAGGGATCTAGTTTCGCCCGTGAACAGTGAACAGCCTGCTTCGGCGGCAAGAAATAGTCTGATGACGAGGATGATGACAATGAAGATAACGTTGATTGTGCTGATGGCGATGACAGCAATGAGGATCACGCCGGAGATGATTTTGATTGTGAATAGCTTGCTGAAGTCTTCCGAGAGGAAAGCTCAGTTTTGTTATGTCATGATTCATGCTGAGCGTCCTCTTGTCTAGTTGGGTTCTGAGGCGGGTCTTATGTCGATTTCAGGATCCGGTGGTGTTCGGTTTTGTCAGCAAGCGAGGTGGCCACTGCAGTGAGGAACGGCGAGAAGGAGCAAACCGAGGCACCATGCTTAGAATAGACTATGTACTTAGGAGAGATGTGCAAGCTACTGTTGGATCAAGAATGCCCGGTGCCGCCTTAATTTCTCCTTTTAGTTCAGGGTCCACAATTAGCAACCCACCTAAACGAAGGAGAATTCCCTTCTTGCTCCAAGGTTGCCGTTTGCCAGGGAACCGAATAAACCTTAGGCCAGTGCCTGTAAGTTCCTAGACTGGCCCTCTAATCTATGCAGGGCTTGTAAGGTGTCAGGGTTTCGAGTCTGGGCAATGTACTTACTTTTTCCTGGGTGGGCGATGTCTGAGGCAGAGGAGCTTTTCAGTTTTAAACCTAAACACCCTCAACCCCAAAACTTTCGGTTTTGGGTCTCCGGTCCGGCGAGGTGGCCACTGCGGTGACCAACGGAGAGAAGGAGAAGCCGGAGGCTCGCTCTTCATGTGCACACTCAGAGCTTGCAAGGTGTCAGGGTTTCGAGTCTGGGCAATGTACTTACTTTTTCCTTGGTGGGCGATGTCTCAGGCAGAGGCTCTTTTCAGTTTTGAACCGAAACACCCTCAACCCCAAAACTTTCGGTTTTGGGTCTCCGGTCCGGCGAGGTGGCCACTGCGGTGACCAACGGAGAGAAGGAGAAGCCGGAGGCTCGCTCTTCATGTGCACACCCAGAGCTTGCAAGGTGTCAGGGTTTCGAGTCTGGGCAATGTACTTACTTTTCCTGGGTGGGCGATGTCTCAGGCAGAGGCTCTTTTCAGTTTTGAACCGAAACACCCTCAACCCCAAAACTTTCGGTTTTGGGTCTCCGGTCCGGCGAGGTGGCCACTGCGGTGACCAACGGAGAGAAGGAGAAGCCGGAGGCTCGCTCTTCATGTGCACACCCAGAGCTTGCAAGGTGTCAGGGTTTCGAGTTTGGGCAATGTACCTACTTTTTCCTGGGTGGGCGATGTCTCAGGCAGAGGCTCTTTTCAGTTTTGAACCGAAACACCCTCAACCCCAAAACTTTCGGTTTTGGGTCTCCGGTCCGGCGAGGTGGCCACTGCGGTGACCAACGGAGAGAAGGAGAAGCCGGAGGCTCGCTCTTCATGTGCACACCCAGAGCTTGCAAGGTGTCAGGGTTTCGAGTCTGGGCAATGTACTTACTTTTCCTGGGTGGGCGATGTCTCAGGCAGAGGCTCTTTTCAGTTTTGAACCGAAACACCCTCAACCCCAAAACTTTCGGTTTTGGGTCTCCGGTCCGGCGAGGTGGCCACTGCGGTGACCAACGGAGAGAAGGAGAAGCCGGAGGCTCGCTCTTCATGTGCACACCCAGAGCTTGCAAGGTGTCAGGGTTTCGAGTTTGGGCAATGTACCTACTTTTTCCTGGGTGGGCGATGTCTCAGGCAGAGGCTCTTTTCAGTTTTGAACCGAAACACCCTCAACCCCAAAACTTTCGGTTTTGGGTCTCCGGTCCGGCGAGGTGGCCACTGCGGTGACCAACGGAGAGAAGGAGAAGCCGGAGGCTCGCTCTTCATGTGCACACCCAGAGCTTGCAAGGTGTCAGGGTTTCGAGTCTGGGCAATGTACTTACATTTTCCTGGGTGGGCGATGTCTCAGGCAGAGGCTCTTTTCGGTTTTAAACCTAAATACCCTCAACCCCAAAACTTTCGGTTTTGGGTCTCCGGTCCGGCGAGGTGGCCACTGCGGTGACCAACGGAGAGAAGGAGAAGCCGGAGGCTCGCTCTTCATGTGCACACTCAGAGCTTGCAAGGTGTCAGGGTTTCGAGTCTGGGCAATGTACTTACTTCCTGGGTGGGCGATGGCTCAGGCACACTATATTTCCACATTTTGGGCGTCAGAGGACCTTATTGCCCAACACCCGAAACCCTAAACCCTAACCCTTTTTGCCTGCAAAGTCACATCTGGATCGGACACGCCGCCCGCGCGGACTGTCCAGTGATTCGGGTTTAGGGCATCAGGACCTTAATTTTCAGGGCTCAGTCTTGGGGGATATACAGTAAGTGTTTGGGAGGGTTCGACGCCTCGACGTGGTGACCACCGTAATGATCCAAGACGCTAAGCCCCCAAGCCCTATAGACCCTAAACCCTATATTATACTTCATGACAATACGACCCCAAACACAGCACTTTGCCGATGCTTGCTTCTCCCAAAGTCCAAATGCCCGCTCTCAATCACATCAAGTCGCAACACCCCTCCCCCTCTCCATAAGACCCAAAGCCTCGAAACCCAAACCCCGAGCCCTCAACCACAAGCCTTCAACCCCAAGCCTAAATCACCTAAATCCAAAACTGGAAAGCTGTAACATCAAACCCTTAAACCCTTAAACCCTTAAACCCTTAAGCCCTTAAACCCTTAAACCGTTAAGCCCTTAAACCCTTAAACCCTTAAACCCTTAAACCCTTAAACCCTAAACCCCTAAAACCCTAAAACCCTGCACCCTAAACCCTAAACCCGAAACCTTAAACCCTACACCCTAAACCCTAAACCCCTAAAACCCTAAAACCCTAAACTCGGAGCCCGGAAGGTCCCAAAGCCGGAAGAGGAGGAGGCAGTTGTTTCCGCCCCCGTCGAGCCCCCCAAGGTGCGCTTGCGGGGTTCAAAATTTTAGGGTTTTGGGGTTTCAGGGTTCAGGGCTTCATTCGCAGGGTTTCAGAGTTTCAAGGGTGTCTTTAGAGGTGTCTTTATGGGTGAGTGAGAGAGGGAGAGTGAGAGAGCGAGAGAGCAAGGTAGACAAGGCCGAGGATTTCAGCCAGGTGTCTTGTCGAGCCTTGTCGTTGCAGGACTGGCATTGCTTGTCACTCTCCGATTCCTACCCTCAAGCCCATGCCCTAAAAACCCTGAACCCAGAAACTTTCAAACCCTCCTGCTTCCAGCAGCGGTAAATCAAGAAAAGCAGAGCCGATGGACACGATTTGAAAAAGATACATAAAGAGAGAGGCCGAAGGAGACAAGCAAAGAAAAGAAACATAAAGAGATAGAGAAAACACATAGAGCAAAACAAACTGCAATAAATCAGGGAAAGGAAACTACTGTAAAGTCGGCGGATTAGGGGAGAGCCTTGTGTTCTGGGGTCTATCACGTCCAATAACCCAGGGCTGTCACACAGCACGAGTTGCTTTCTGTGGTTCAGAGGGTGGCTGTGTCTGGTTGTTGGCGCCACAGACAGATGCACTGAGTACCATCCGAGACTTCAAGTCCCAACGCCGAGCAGGGGGACTCTGTCGGAAACTTGAGGGGACCTAGTTCGCGAGCGGGGTTGCATAATAGCCCATGCCGACCCCAGAGCCTTGCATAGTTTTTTGCAAGAATTCTAGATTTGGGGGGGGGGGATATCCCTTCATGCCCCATGAAAGAAAGGGAAAATCAAGAAACAAAGACAAGAACAAGAAGGAACAAAAGAAAGAGGCAATGACAAGGAGAGAGAAACAGAATCTAGAAACACCACTTTCACGTCAGAGACAATGAGGGACAGGAACAGAGGCCGAATGACCGATGTCATGTCACGTCAGAAGACAACGAGGGAGAGAAGCAGATTTCACGTCGGAGACACAGACAGAGTAAGAGAGAGAGAGAGAGAGACAGAGAGAAGAGCACAAACATAACGCGGATATGTGATGTCGCTTTCACGCCATGTCAGAAAGACAATAATTACGGGAGAGACACATCTTTCACGTCGGACTGACAATGATAGGAAGGAACTGAACACATTGACATGGCTTTCATGTCACCTCAAAGAGAAGGAGAGACCGCGCTGAGAGACAGAACCCGCATATTCGGCTTTCACGTCGAACGCCGGGTCTGAACGTTTTCGTGTTCCTCATATTCCCTGGCATTTGCACGAACACTTTGTCGAACGACCGAGCCCCTTTCATGTCGTTTGCGCACGCCGACCGTGGATCTGGACGAAAAGAGGCGGACCATTTCCCTGAACTTTCTTGGAAGTTTCATGAAAATGGTCCGGACCATTCTTGTGAACATGCAAGAATTTTCAAGACTTCATTTTAAAGAAAAATCTCGGACATTCCATTGTCAAAACATGGAATGTTCATGAACGCGGTCTCCGGATCGTTTCTATTAAACTCCTTTCAATGTCATGGAATCGGTCGCACGAAGGGCATCTCCGCTAGTTTACCTCGCAGCTGCTGCATATTGACAATGGCCCGAATGAAAATGCCGGGAATGTTCATAACAATGGTCCGGAGACCGTTTCCATGAGAATTTCAGAAAATTTCATTAAATCTGTCCAAGTTCGACGTGCGCAGACGAAACGGCAGGGGCGGGCCGTGCTGTTTTGCACAGGGCAAAAACGCGCGTGACCAGATTATTTTCGGATGGTGGTCCAGGGGCCCTGGGCTGGACCAAGTAGGGGGGATGCCCGATGCCTTGTTTGCGTCCTTGTGAGTTGTATACTGTGGCCACACGATGCGCGGGGGAATGGGTGGGGTAGGTGGACGGAGGGGAGGCCTTGTCTTCAGCCCCTTGAACCTGTTTATGCGACGATCACGGATGTTGGTCACTGGCCCCAGGCTTTATTTAGTCCAAGGCCACAAGAGCCGTCTTTGATCGGGCACGCTGGGCGGGGTCAGGGGTTTGAGGGCGGGGCGGACGCCTCGTTTTCGGTCGTTGCTTGCTTGTCTAGAGGTCAGACATATAGCACAACTCCATAATTGTCAAGGACACCCCAAAAGGGACCCCCAATTTTGCCACCCCTCAATAAACCCTAAACCCTGCCAGAAGTCCGCCTTCGCGGACATATTGGGAAACCTTGACTTGGACAGCTTGGACGTGCCGCGGCCATGGGTTGAGGAGTTGAAAGGTGTTGCTGTGGAATGGATGTTTCGTATTACTCTCTGTGTCTGTGTGTGTGTGTGTGCAAGTGTGTACGCTCTGATAACAAACTGTTCCTTGGATTCAGAATATTCAGGAATCTGCACAAGCAGGGGAGCACTGCATGCCTGACAGTCACTGCCCAACGAAGACACTGTCAGAGCATGGTGAAATCTGGCCTGACCAGCCAGATGTACCTGCAATTTATGTCTCACCCACTTTAGGTGATGTGTCATAGTTGACTCGCCGAGAACTGATTGAAGAATGCATGCACAGAGAGTTGAGAGAAGCTGAACCTACTAACCTCTTTGGGGGTCGTCACTCTGTGTGTGTGCGTGTGTGTCTGTGTGTGTCTGTGTGTGTGTGTGTGTGTGTTTTTACGGCTGCCAAGCGCATGTCAGCAAGCGGGCGTGTCTTTTAAACAGGTGCGGTGAGCGCGTAGGCGCAGACTCGAGATACGACAGGAATTGCGGGTCTTGTGTTAGCTGGTGTTTTAGCCCTAGGAAATCTCTCCTATGTTCCTGGGAAGGGTCTTTGTGGTCCAAGTACTCTTTTAGGATTGGGAGGGAGTATTCTACATTAAGCTCTAGCCAGTATCTTTGGGGGTGTCCTCTTCTAACAGACTTTGTGAACCGAATCCTATCTTTGTAACCGGGGGAGAAAACTACATTGTGCAGTGGATCCTGCGGCGGTGTAGCAATGACTCTGGCCAGCTGTGTCAGTTGCAAAGAGGTGAGAGTCTGGGATGGTAATGTCGGTCTGCCTGCCTGTTCCCATACTGTTTTGTTGGTTATGTGTGAATAGTAGGAGGATTTAATCCCTGTGTGGGTGTTTGTGTGTGAGCGTGTTGTTCTGCGAATGTGCCTGTAGTTGCGTTAGTGCTAGTGACTGCTTGTGTGCTCGTTGATTTGTTTTGTGTGTTTGCTGGTTTGTATGTTTGTTTGTGTTAATTAGGTTTGGTTGGTTTGTTTCTTTCTTTGTTTGTTTGCTTGTTTTTTGTTTTTGTCTAGTATGTGCTTGCATGTTTGCTTGCCTGCTTGCTTTATTGTTTGCTTGTTTATCTGTTTAGCTTTCTTTGTTGTCTTTGTTTTGTTCTTTGGTCGTTGGTTGTTTGTCTGTTTGACTGTCTGGCTGTTTGTTTGTGTTGGTGTTGTCTGTTTGTCTGGTTGTCTGTCTAGCCGTCCGTCCGTTTGTCAGTCTGTCTGCTCTCTTTGCCTTGTCCCCAGCCTCAAACCCTAAACCCCAAATGCTTGATGTGGGGATTTGAGTCTGAAGTACTGGGTCCCAGTACGAGCGCTGCATGGTTTTTAGTGGATGCTCGAAGGATCCCCTTCCAAACCTGCGAAGTTATGTAGTGCACGCTTCAGGGCGATGGGTATGCTGTCTTATGGGGGGAGAAATGGACCCGAGCATTGGACCAGAACCACGCAGATTCCTGGCGCTTTCGGCGAACGAAGAACCTGCCATCTCCCTCATGAATATTAGTTCGACTGAGCGTCGGCTGTGCCTGTGCCAGGGAGCTGGCCATAGGAGAGCCTACTAAGGCTTTAGATTCTGTCTTGAACCCTTCTGGGAACTCCCAAACCCTGTAATTTGTCTTTTTGCGGCCCAGGAAACACCGCCAGTGGCCTGGTTGGCAGCTGGCACTCCCTACCCCAAAGGGCAACCCTAGAAAGTGTTGAGTTCAGTCTTTAGGGTTTAGGAGGGCTAGCCTCCAAGCCTCAGAAGTGTGTGTGTGTGTGTGTGTGTGTGTCTGACCGTTTAAGAGTCTTCCGCTCAGTTTCAAATCCTGGCCCCCCCACCCCCCCCCCCCCCCCCCAAGGGACCCCAAAGCTTGCCCTGCCCGCAAAACATGAAACATAGTCAGCTGAAGAGCTGGCATGATCCTACTTCACCAGAAGTGCATGAACCCCTGACAAGCAGCACGAACTTAGGGTTGAAGTTTAGGGTTTTAGGTGGCATGTGGTCGCTGCATTCCCAGAATCGTCAAAAAAGGTACAGACAAAATGCAGTCACACATATTTTTTTCTCGCTCTCTCTCTCTCTCTCTTGCGGTCTGTCCGTGCGAGAACCCTAAAGCCACAGTTGAAATCCCAGCTTGCTTTTCTCGCAAGCAAAGCCCCCCTCATAAAAGAACTTCTGGGAAAACTTTACGACTGCAAGTTCTGTTAAGGTAAACCCTAGACAGACTGCCTGGAGTTGCTTATGGGGGTGAGGGTGGAGGCTTGGAGGGTGCGGGGGGGTTGAAGGAAAAACGCTCCCCGCCTCGAACACCGGGGAAGTCAGATGACCAATCTTAAGCCCTAACCCCTAAACTAAACCCTATAACCCTAAACCCCAAACCCTGAACCCTGAACCCTGAACCCTAAACCCTAAACCCTAACCCAAAGCCTGCATCTAAGTCACTTGAGTCCTCGCCCATCCCAGGAGATTCAGGAGCCTCTTCCGACTGCTCTTGGCGAGCTTCTTGTTTGAACGCCAGTGGGATGAACACCAGTGGGATGCAACTAGTGGTGCAGGATTTGGGGTGCAAGGTTCAGGGTTTACAGTTCAGGCTGCGCTGCTGTTTGTTGTGCTCCCAACTTACGTCAGTTTTGCCTTAAGTTCAAAGTCGTCTGACAGTCTTTTTTTGGTGGCGTTTGTCTTCTTAGTGGGTGTAGGCTCTTTGACGCTTTGTAAGTTTGGCCGTGAGCGTCCCAAAGCCTTCCTAGGTCATTTCTGGTCACCAAGCGTGCCTCTCGAGTCTAGCTAACCTGGCCGCGAACATGATCTGCAAATACCCCGCCATTTCATTCTCGTCACAGCGCATGTTCTAAAGACCTTGGAGCCGAACTGCGTGAAGTTTGAAAATTTCTGAAAATCCTGATCGTGAGCCCTAAACAGGTGAGGGTGGGGTAAGTAACCTTCATTATTCCCAGGTGCTGAGGCCTTCTTCCCCCCTCCCCCCCTTTGAATCCGCCTCCTCCCCGCATCTCCGAGCCTTTCGTAGTAAAAATCCCCGGCGCCTGAACCCTAAATACCTTGAGAACCCCCCACACCCCATTCTCTGGTAGCTTGCCCACCAAAAGCCTGTGGTCCCTTTGTATAGACCCAGAGACCTCAATTGCTGCGTCCTGTGCAAGGATCGCTCAAATCCATAGCTATTCCTCCAGCAGCCGCATCTTGGACGAGCTCAACAAGACTTGGGCTTTTGGATTAGTATTGAGGGTGTATGGTGTTGTTCTTATGGGGTTCGCGAGGTCGGAGATGCTTAGAGATGGCCTTTGGCTTCGGGATTGCTGGCGTTGGGGTTGTTGCCCTCATTTGCTTTGTGTTCGGTGCGTCATGTGGCTGGGTGTTGCCCCAAAGCCCACCCTCCTCAATGTGGTCAACTAAGTACAAACGTCACGGTCGAACGAGGACATCATGAGCGATCG